CCCCCCCCCCCCCTAAATATACAGAAAGCAAGCAGCATTGCCTTTCCCCTTGTAGCTTGCCAAGAAGTTCAGATATAGAGTAAGCTTTCTTATTTTATGATACCATGAGTTTGAAAAGAAAAAGGCACAAGAAGAACAAGAAGAGCAAAATTGTTATACCATAATGTGATTTCATTAAACAATTTGATTGTCTTATAGTACAAGATAAAGAAAATATATATAGATCCATGTACATGTAAAGCAGACTATTTTTGTTTGAACCACCCAAAAACGTAAAAACGAATCAAACACGCCCTATTATGCAAATGCTGATAATAATAATAATAACAGTAGAGAAGACAGTTTAAGCCGATTCCGTTGTTTCCTCGTCACTCATGCTTTGGCCTTTTACCACCCTTTTCAATGTGTCAAGTGTTTTTTCGTTTTCTCTATAACCGTGACGGGAAATCCAGCCCCAAATAGAAAAGACAAGGAACTCATTAACCTCCGCCCTTAATACCCAATGAGTATTTTGTTTTCGTATCATTTTTTTTTTGGGAGTATAGTTTCATTTGCTGCAGTAGACATGTGTGAGTGTCCGATTCAATATAATGAAATAGCGTCTATGTGATTGGTTTAATGCCAGGATGGGGTATTTCAAGATGGGAGGAGCCGGTTTGTTGTAACCGGATGTGACGGATAGATGTTGCATGCCATGGCGCAACTAGTGCAGCACCTCAGCAGGCGCCTGCTACTAATAGCCGCCATGGGATGGGAGAATTGAAGTGGCATAAGCAGCTTACTGGGCATGCTCCTGGGCCTGGGCAGCCTTGCGGGCGGCTAATCTCTTCTCCTCAGCCTCGACCATATCTGTAAACGAGTTTGTTAGCTAGATGCTTCAATGTCTAGAGGAGGAATCGAAACTTACCCATCCACAGATCCTGTCCCTCGTACTCCTCCTTGTGGATTCTCTTCTCAATGAGGTGCTTGTGCTCAGGGTCGTTGGGGTCGAGGACCATGACGGTCTCCCAGCGGCCCTTGCCGCTCTTGGCATCGTTCATCTCAAAGGCTGCCGAGACGATGAGCACGGCAAGAGTCAGGCCCTGGGCGTAGACACGAGCCTGCACGATCTTCTGGGGGGTGCTCATGGGTGCGCGGCTGACAAGGGCAAAGGCAACGGCCAAACTGGCCAGCCACGAGGCGCAGACAATGCTGTAGCGGTGCTCGCGGCCATAGTTCATGAAGCGCTCGTATGCCGTCTCGTTCTCGCGGAGGATCTCCTGGGCACGCTGGGAGTTGTCTCGGTACATGCGTCTGGGGTCCTGTTCCTTCTGATGCTTGATACCCTGGCGATCAGCCTGGACGATGGCGCCAAAGGTAGCGGTGGATGTGACGAGGAAAGTTCGGAATGGCAGGGTCAGGCCACGGAAAGAAGGATATCTCCTTGAGGCGTAGATGACACCAGAGGCACCGATAGCAAGACCCAATGAACCACCGATCAATCCGCCCTTGACAACGGCGTTGTAGTGGGCGGCTTCTTCTTCCTTGGTGAGGACCTTCATGGTGACTGTAGGAGTTTGTTGTTGTGATAGGTAGGTCGAGTAGTTGTAGGTGGTAGCTGAGCTAGCTCTGAAGAAAGTGGCTCGGTTTTGGTGGTTATATAAATATCTCGGGCTCAGGAAACTTCGCAGAGCGGGGGAAATCGAGCAGACAGGGATTATTCCCGATAAGTAAAGGGGGTCGCGTATAGGCTATTCCAACTACCTAATTGGATGAAGGCCGGCTGATGCGGTAACTGTTGCGTGGTCGGGCGAGGTTGATAACCCCAGAAGAGCTGCTCTGATGAAGAGGGGTGGTGGCGTCAGGAAAGCTCTGGTGGATCCGGATGTAGCAAGTGGCAGCGGGCTGATTTTAGCTGGTGGATGATTTGATTACTGGCCGTGTGAGGATTGGATTATCGTTGACAGTAAGACTTTGTGTGATGGCTTGTATGAGTCGAGCGTGAATAGTTGATTGAGTCTGTATGATACAAGACTGAGTGAAGTGTTGGGATGTTTGGTTGTGATGCGATGATGCTGATGGCAATGAAGACAAGAATTCGATATGATGGAAGCGAGCGCGCTGTAAATATAGTGCTGGGTCAGAACAAAGCGGCATGATGTCAAGCAAAAAAAATTGCACTTTCCCTTCCGAGCCGCCCCGCCGCAAACCCGAGAATTCCCCACCGAGAAATTCCCGTGCGCGACACACCGGGCCTCCGCAGGACGATCGAGGAGAGAGTTTACGCGGTTTCGACCAAACAGGCAGAACGGAGATATCACTTACACACTAAGTTGGGATTATCGAATTATCCCTGTTTGAATTGCATGTATGACGATTGAATGCTCGCAGCTGCATAGGTAGAGAGCAGATCGATGGAAGTTGAAGTTTTTCTCTTACTCCCTCCCTACATCATCCGACTGCTCGATGCGCGCCGCAGCGGCCACCGCCGTCTTATGTAACGATAGAGGCTGCGCGGCATAATGGAAAAAACAGAAGCCACCTACTCAAGCCACAGCGCTCATGGCTGCGGCTGCGGCTGCGGCATATGCGGCGCCGCTTGGCGGCAGGGCCGTGTGATATACGCTACAGGCTTCATTTCGCCTGGGAGCCGCCTAGCAAGCGCGGCCCTGCGGCGGTTTCGCCCGCTAGAAACAGCCAGCTCGTCTCATCGGCTGACTAACCGGCACAATGCCTCATGCCAGCTTCGACCCCTGCAGCCTTGCCAGATGCGCTGCTCTTGGTGCCATGCCGGCAGCCGAGGTGGGCATGGCGCCGGGCCACCGATCATACTCGTACGAGGTGAGAGTTTTATCGTCTCGCCCGACTGCTGCGCCGCCGACTTCCTTTTGACGTCAACGGTACCCTTGTGGTTTCTAGAACTCCGGGCGGTTCCGCCGCAGGCAGATCGCATGATGGCTGATTGCTTGCATCTCCGCGCTCCATATCCGGATCTGGTGTCCGCAGAATTAGCTGAAGTCGCTGACAAGGGCAGTCATACCCAGATAGGCAGTAGTGATAATGGCAGTAGACATGAAGTCGTAGTATCCGACATTAGTACAGAATCAACGACATTCCTGCCAAGAGTGCAAGCCAACAGTATCGCATCTAGAGGGAGATTTTACAAATGATCTATTTAACAGACATGCCCGGCGGCATTTTGAACGCTTGACAAAAGGAAAACGGTAGATAAACAAGGACGCGGCAGCACTCTTTCAGATAATGCGTCCTTGTCTGCATACATCGCCCAAGTTGCTACCCTGGAGACCGAGCCCAAAACTGAGTTGCAATCGAGCAGCCATCATATGCGCCATTCCGATATACATATCTTTGCCACCCCCCAGATCCAGAGCCGCAATGCATGATCCTACCGATCGTTGCCGCTTGCCGCGCGTCTGCCGCCAGCCGCATCGCGGCGGTGTGCTGGAAAACACTTGGTTCGTGGATCCTTATCTTGCAACCCCCTGTTCGGCGCCCCCCCCTCCCGCGAGATATCTCGACTGATCAGATATCTAATCGATACCAGTCAATTGCCACCTACAATGGTGAGTTCCGTGACGTAGTACTGCTAATAATAATAGTAGTACTACTCAGATTGCGCCATGCCGGAACCTTGGTAGCTGAGATCACTCGCGGGTGTGAATAAACATTGACGACTCGGGCCGGACACTCGCGTCCAACTAATGCTAGGCTGTCCAAGTTCAATATTCTACTTCGTGATTAGCTTTATCATTGTACTAGGTACCTGGGAATCCCATATTCAAGCCATGTGCGTCTCTTGTTGGGTCGTTTAGGCTCATGGATCTCTTAGTATAAGAGCTTACACTCGCAGTACACTGGACCACCTACGGCCCCAGCATCGCCAGATCCTTATTTTACATGTTATTGCAATTGGAAAAGCTGTAATTGGCCGTTCATTACGTTTTCGACCTTGGCACAGCCCAACAAAACGTAATTAGGCTGTTGGTAGGAGACTTGTACGCACGAATTCACATACGAATGACATGGCGGCAGAAAAGAGAATTTTCGGTTGTGCCGAGAGATTCTGAGCTACCTGCTTGGCATCTGACCATGTGCCGAGTGGTTGGTGCAGCATTTGCCCTGTGCAAGAGCTTGTGCACGGCAGCCCTATGCCGCGAACCGACAAGACTCGAATACCAGCTTCATGGTGTAGTATCCGACAACCCGACACTTAGAGAGCAACATCCATGACCAAGTATCGGGAAGCTCTTTGACTACTAATAGTGACACTCAAAGGTCATCTGATATTAAATGTGTAGCCATATAGGTAACAGCCTCTTGAACTTTATAGTCGAACGATGTTGCGTAGTATGCAAACGTGCTTACATGTACACACTCAACAGTTGTTTTTTCTGTCTAGGAGAGGAAAAGAATATTCACAACAGAGTTCGTATTGTGTTTGTATTGCGGCTATATCTCTGACAAACTATTTCGTATCGTATAAGATAGTACATACTTTCTTTTATTGAAGACCATGCCAAGGCCCCCCTGGCCACGTACATCTGATATAGACAACCAACAGCGCCGACGGCAGATATGCACCAATGCGCAACTCTAAACACTAATCACACAGCTAACGACGCGCTCGAGCCTCATGTTCTAAAAAAAGGGTCGATTTTACTCCAATAGCTCAAAGCACGGCTACGGCATGATATACGGCTACAATATGGAGCAAAAAGAAAAGAAGCTCTGAGCTTTCCCGTCCTACTGCCCGGTGGCAAAGTGCGGCCATTCATATGTACTTACAGCTAAGAGATGAGAGTACTATAGTTCAAAGCACCACCTCATGCAAAACATCTGTCAAAAAAGGAGAAACTGCGTCAAGTCTACTTGCTTGTACATACGGAGGCGGCGCTCCGCTCTTGAGGCAAAAAGGAAGAAGCCACATGTCGAACCTGTACGCGAGGTGCCGAAGTGGAGTCCCCTTCTGGCCGGCGATGCTGAGGCGAGGCGATCGACAGCGCCAATTGTGGGAACAAGGCTAGATGTGATTGATGCATTCAGGGTCCAGTCCCAAGACTGGAAGCTGCTCTGCAACCGCTAGCGCCTGCCGAAGCGGGCAAAAATGTACAAGTATGTAAAACAAAAGAAACAGAAAAGCGGACTGGCTGAGCTTCTCACTCTAATGGATTCCGTGGCTTTTCTTGGCCCTCTTGTACCTTGTTCCCTGTTTCTAGCGAAGCCATGGAAGGGCTCCATTTGTTCCATGAGATGCCGAAGTCTACCGCGCAGAGCCCACTTGGAGCAGGTTTCCTTTCAGAACAATTCGACGCCAGGACGAAACAGGCTTTGGTTGCGACCAAGTGGAAAATTCCAAAGCTACTTCAATTGTCGGCGCTTCCTTGCTGTTTGTTCTCGTTCTTGGATGCCACGTTGAATGGCGGCTAAGCCCGGCAAATGTTGTGGGTTTGGCGTCTTGGCCTTTTTTGTGCTCGGCTGCGACATCCACTGGGGCGTGTCTCAGACATGGCCGAGACTTGGTGCGATTGTTAGAAATGGCGTTTCAGGGTTGAGCATTGTCTTTTTTTACTGTGCAATACGAAGCAGAGAGTTTGCCCAAGGTAAAGAGGGAAGATTAAATAAATTGGCACTTTGCATCTGTGTATAGGCATGCTCGTTATAATATCAATACGCTTCTCCATCATATGTGTCTTTTTTTTTTCTTACTCGTTATACATGTAATTTCGGCCGGCAAGATTTGCGGCTTTTAAACAAAGTTAAGAAACACGCCGGCTTACTGCCATGCACGCACCAGTGAGCTTCCAGACAAGCGAGAGAGCTAAAAGACCCTCAGAGATGTCATTGCATCCAAGTCAAATGGTGCCGGTTAGTATTATTTACCAGGTACATACTTGGAGCGAGCATTTGTGTCTCGTAATGGGATACAGCAGCCAATATCCATCCCGTGTGCCACGCTATGACTCAGGCCAGCTGGCGGCAGAGGCGCCATAGCCAGGACTAAGACTCCGTCAAAAGGCAAAAAGAGAGGCTGTTCCCACTTGCGAGATGGATCCCGCACGCTTTCGTCCCCCTGCGATGTCAAAAAATGACAACTCGATTAGCCTCGGTATTAATGGAGCGAGGTACCTCATTATATTGCTAGTAGCTAGTAGTAGTTGAATTGCGACGTCGCACTTTTGGTGGGAGGAGAGTCTGGAACTGCATTGGGCGAACTGCAAGCGTCCTTTAATTGATTGATATTGCAATCGCATTTGATGCTGCTGGATGCTTCCTGCAACGCTGTAGGTTCACTGTGGAGAAATAGGAATGAGTTGCAGGGGCAATGGGTTTTGCGCACGCGACTCCAACCAGGTATCCCTACCCTCTCAGAGGCATTTTCTCACTTTTTCACTTTAAGCGTCCTTTTTCCCTTCCTGTCAGTTTGGAATTGATGGCGGAATGTGACCCTGCAGCATCGACGGCCCGAACAAGGGAATCAATTTCTAGATTATTTCTATATTACCCGTACACTATGATTTCCGATCAATCTTCTTTTGATGAGCCAAGACTCGGTCGTACAATTGGAGGATTTTCATTCGTTGGGGGGTGAGGTCAACTGATGCCTCAGATGGGTAGAAATTAACACACAAGGACTATGAAGATCGTAAGATACGGGGTATTGAGCGTCGGTGCATTTACGAGCGGCCGCGTACATTACACGTAGACGTATATGACGGCGACTTTTGGAGATGACGGAGCGCTTTAGGCGCCAATCGCGGCCTCGCTGGACCCTGAAAATCGTCAAGCTACAGGTACGCAATGAATGACGGCCATGCTCTGCATCCAGGGGGCCTGGACTCGGCGTCGCTTATCAGGCTGATGTTCACACATCGCATCGATCCGGCGTCACGTTTTCGCTGTTTGTTCAGCTGCAGGTCACTTTGCTCAAGCTTAACAACTTGAATCCAGTACTAGTGCTGGAGCTACGAACACGACTCGTCCTCCACGAGATGGAGATCTGGCGGTGTCAAAGGGGCGCCCCCAAAATGCCCCTCAACTCGATATATCGGCTTTAATCCTGCGCTTGCGGCTGCGGCTCTGAGTTTTATAGATGGTGAAACGGTCCTTGTGACATCACTGGGAGGACTCATATTGGGGGACTGCAGCTGAACTCACCGCACTCTCTGCTGTATAATTACTTCATGACCGCCTACTGCGCGTCTAGATGCGGTGGGGTTTTCTTATGCTTTTTTTCTGCTAGAGATGGCGAGCGGTGAAGGGAGGAGGTGAAGCATGAAGTTGCTGAGTTGTCCACAATGCGAGCACATGTAGTGAGATTAGAAGCTAAAGGCCATGTCATGTCATAGCCACGACTGCTTCTATATATGGCCTCCATGACGAATCATCCTAGAGACACTGCTGAGCACATGCAGCCACATCTACGGAGTACCCAGATCTGCAAGCTGTCAAGTAATACTTCAGGCCACTTGTCGGCCACCCAACCACCGCATTCGGCTTCTTCCCTGTGCCCCAGCTCACATGCGAGGCAAGACTCAGCTGGCATTGCCGTCAATCACGGAGTATTCCGTCGAGTAGCACGTCGCAAGTGGCAATAGAGGGACCGTCCGGCGGTCAACCAACCACATGCGGTAGGCCAGGCCAGTACTGCACAAGTACATTACGATTGTCCTGCTCAAACTCCATACGAGTGGCCAAGCCAGGTCCGGTGGCTAGAACGCCGTAGTGGCTCAGCATTTCAACCGCACCACCACGTAGCGTCGATGCTAGTGCGCGGTCGAGTAATGCCACCAGAGGCACTGATAGGTCTGAGCAGGTCTGAGCAGGTCTGAGCGGACTGGAATCGGGTAATAGCGCCAGGCACCTTGGCAGCAACAGCATCTCCGACCCCAAAAAGCCCGTGGGGTGCTTCTCACATGCGCAGTAGGTACAGCGCATCCATCAGCCATTGATGTCGGTGTGCAATAGTGCCGCCAAAATAAGGTCCTTTTTCGTACGGTAGCTGCTTCATGTAGAGTAGACCGAGCGAAGCGATGCGGAGAAGTTTCATTGAAGATCAAGCAATACGGAGCCCCAGACGCTGCTGCTGCATGCTGAATTGCGATTAGTATACCGTGCATCTGATGTATGCACAAGTCATGCCCGCGAGCTGTAATGCGCGTGGCTGGAGCCTTGGCAGGCCAAAAGCGCGCGCAAACCAGGCACGTCTACAAGGTGATGTGGTATCAACTCCATCATATTTCCCAACTTCGTAATCAACCAAGCCGGCGAGCGCTAGCCCTTGATTGGCAAAGAAGCCTCAAGCGCTCTCTTTCTGCTTCTCTGCGAAATTCCTCGCCACCGGCACCAAAGAGTCGTGCACACGTCAGTGCTAGCTGCTAAACCCGTGCTAATCACGGCCAAAGGTGTAAAAGTTTAAATCGATCGAATCAAATCCGTCGGAGAGCCAGACAGAGAGCACGAGGAACTTCCGATGCCCGGAGAAGCGGAAGAAATAACAAGCGCCTCTCGAGTGGCCAAGAGAGCGGACCGAGAGCAACGGGATGCATCCATACCTTACGTCGCGATACTTTTCGCCCGCAATCGATTGATGCTTGCCTGCCCGTCTGATTTGCTGATTTGCCCATGGAGTCCTGAGATGGATGCTTGTAAGCTGGGTCTCACTACGACACACTTGGTAATTCATCATCGGTGACCTGCATTGTTGACTGGTTTAGCCCTGACCGAGCGAGGCCCTGTGCCAGCCCATCAACCCATGTTACACCGGCCGATGCCTACATGCATATAGGTACATGTATGTACTGCTACGAAGCGGTTGTCGACTAAGACGACGTGCTTGAATCGACACTCACAGAACCCCACCACGTAGGCTTATACTGTACATTCAAGCAAATGCCTCGCGTTCGATGTGAGATACCTGCAGTTTGCACATATCAAAAGTACGAGTCTGCTGAAGAGGAATCCACAGCAAGAACAGGGCCAGGGTTCCGGAGCAAGGCAAGGCAAGGCAAGGCACAGAGAGCCAAAGTCGTCGACTCGCATGCTCGTGCAGGTAGCACAAGCAGCAGGACAGGGCATCTGTGGTAGCATTCGGCATCAATCCGTCCAGGCTCAGAACGCATTTAGATGCCACCACAAGTCCCATAATAAGGCCCAGCATAGGCCGCCTCATCCCCTGGAAGTACGGATATGCAGCTCGCTACTTTGAGCCGTCGATTTTAATTTGTTACTTGCACCGCGCAGTCTCCCGAAAGCACGAGGTAGACCTCGAGTATTGGCGAGGTACCGTAGTCTGCGAGCCATGCCCACTGTGGGAGCGTACATGTTTGTATTGATGGCTGAAGCAAGCCGCCCAATTAACCGCTAGCGCCAGCCCCTGGTCCTGGGCTCTACTGATCGTACGAAGCACCCCGAAGCACCACGGAGAACTTGCTGCTCCTGCTACTGACACGCTGCGTCCCGTCGTGATCAATGCTCCGGGCCTTGCAGGGGCAGAGGCCAACTAGGATTCAACTGCTCTGGCGCCGAGTCTCTTTGTGGAGGACGTGGTGTGGATGGGGGGAGCCTTGCTCATCGTGGTGATCATGCCGTCAACCATTCAGGCGTGTCGCTGCTAGCAGTAGCGGTGCCTGTAGTGCTCCTGTGCTAGCAGCTGTAGCAAGTAGGTAGGGTCGCTATGTCATATCGTAGCTACCTACCATTGATCCATTCGTCTTCAAGTTCCATTCTTCTTTCCTCTTCTTCACCCGCATTCTACCCATTTCTCCTCCTCTTCTGGCTCAGATCGAAAGTCGTTCATCTATTCCGCTGCTATAAGTAACCTGCTTGATTGATGATTTGAAGTCCTCCAACTCGTAGCTGTGTGATTGATGCTGCACCCCCAATTCTCGTTCAAGCCACCATTCTTATCCCTCTTAGCCGTGCATGCACCGCGCCGTTTGAGCGACCCCGAACCGACCAACCAACCGACTTACACCATTTCGTCTTCTCCGCCATTTCACTGCGCTGTTGCTGGGACCAAAAAGCCATCAATCAAGAGCCGCTACGACAACAATAACACATCACAAGGCCGCACCGCTCTTCTCTCGAGCTAAGAATACCTACCATACCTGCCCATTCATCGTTTTGGTCAAGCTTCTGGAGACGGTCGGACCTCTCTCGAGCTGTTGGCCGCCCCACGACTCGCGCCTCGTCCGGGTTCATTCATAAATACTTTGGCTTGGAACCCCCCGGGCAAAAGGTGTGACATGCTCTGACCCTCTCCCGAGGCTTTACGCAACGTCTCCCGAGTCTCAGCATTGCCCTCATCCGAGCATAAGTTCCAACCGTCTCGGCAGAATCTTGTTTGAGCTGTATCTCCGGGCTCTATCCCCTTCTCCTATTTTCACTTTGCTTTACTTCGCTCTACTTCGACATCTGCTTGTTTCGACTCGCTCTTCCATCGGGAAACGTCTAGCTCGTTTTACAAGCGTTCACCATCGCCGACTTTGCGCCGCGCGACGGTTTCGTCACATACCAGGTACAGCCGGTGGACTTGGGCGCATCTACGGCACTCCCACACTTACACGGTAGCCACGACAGTACCGCCCAGGTCACTTGTACCCATTCACAGCCCAAAGGTTCACGGCGCTCTGTTTACCGTGCAAGCAGACGAGCTCAGCCATAGCGAGACTTGCTCGACCCCCAGCCGAACTATACCGGCAAGGTAGTGCCCAGCCATCATTTGGCTTGACCGGGGCTGCTTGGGGATTATTTCGATAACATTTTCTCATTTTCTCATTTTCTCATATTTGAGTTTTGAGGCTGAGGCTTTCGTGACGCATTTTATTTACTTATCTATCTGCGTGCTTGCTGTTTATTGTTGCTGCGATCCATCCCCGCTCCCATCGTGCCCTTGACTCGTCATCGCTCCCAACAGGCAGCAAGTGTGACTCTGCGAGAGAGAGTGAGCGCCAGAGCGAGTGAGCAGCACGAGCGTACCTGATACTGTGTACCGTACCGAGTACCCCATTCAACAAAACACCAGTCCAGACCACATCAGAATCCCGCCTGCAAACCTGGCAGCAATGCAGAGCGCGCTCAGGTGGTTCCAGGGCCCCGACAAGGCCCTCGGGCCAGGCTCCACGGCCGCAGCGCCAGCACTCGCCGCCCAGACCAGCTCCAGCAGCACCGGCTCCAGCGCGGGCTCCAGCACTGGCTCCAGCACCACCAGCGCTAGGCCCAATGCCCTCGCCCGGCCAGCCCACTCCCGCGCCACTGCAAACGCCAGCGACAGTGCCGGCCCAGCGCTGCCTGCCTGTGCCGCCTCGCCCGCCCTCGCCGGGTCGCCAGCTTCGCTCAACTCGTCGTCGCTGACACAATCGCCTTCGCCCCAGCCGGCAACGCCTCCCGACCTCTTGCACGACGCATCATCCGCCTCACCACCAGCCGCGGCCTCAGCACTTGCTTCCGTCTCTGCTTCTACTTCCACCGCTGCCTCTGCCGCATCATCATCCACCGCGTCGCCGTCCAGACACGGCTCCAGCTTCTGCAGCACCCCCGCATTGCGCGCTGACCCAGACGTCGCAGCGCCCTCGCCGTCGTCGTCCGCATATTCCTGGACGTCCGCCCTTCGCACGACCGAGCAGGCCACGGCCCCCGAGAAGCTCTTCGCCTACCCGCGCCCCGACACCTCCATCGACGTCGACATCGACATCGACATCGACCTCAGCGACTGCGACGACGCCGCCGACATGACTACTGGCCCGGGCCTTGACGCTGCCATGGGCCGACCGCGGCAGGACTCGTTTGTCAGCGCCGGCCCCAAGCCCATCTCCATGAACATCCAGAACCGCGACAATGTCAACCGGAATCGTCGCGAGAGCCTCGCCGGCAGCCTGATGGGCGGCGTCAGCTGGGGCGGCATGTCCTTTGGCAGTTTCGTCAGAGACGAGTAAGTGCCGTGATCATTTCTGTCGTCAACTTTTTAATCCTTATCTGCCTCTATCGTGTGTGGGCGCTATAATTATTTTTTGCCCCATCTGCACCGTCATCAAGCATCACATACGCTGTGGCTGCTGCTTCCATCACCTTGCCTTGATCACCATGAGATTCCCTCTTGCACATGTCAATTCGCAGTCTGGACGAGAGACATTTTGGCCTCTTTACGCCCCGCGCGCAACCCGTCTTTTTTTCCTCACTCCACCCCTCGTGTTCGCTCTTGATTTCCCCCCCGCCATGGTATGCGCATCATGGGTATCATATACTGCATATCCACCGATTGCATGGCAATTCTTCCATCTATTAGCATTTCTTCTGTTGATCTTTCTTCGATTATAATTGCTAACAAAATGGCTTCTGCAGTATCATGATGCAAGGAACTTCTCCGTTCACCGGCGGCGCCCACGCGTCTCCCTCATTTCATTCTTCGTCTTACCTACCTAAGCTCGAGGCTAGCTTCATGCGAGACTTCACATGTTGCGGCAAGATTTTGCCTAATCTGCACGATTTGCTGCAGCACTACGAGGAGGCCCACACGCAAGCCAGTCCCTCTGCTGCGAGGAACAGTGCTTTCAACCAATACGGCCAGCTAGGCATTCAAGGTTCACCGAAGATGCCCAACTCTAGGGCAACTCCAGGGCCTGGCCAAGGTCCGCAGCAACTGGGACAGCAGCGCTCAATCGGCGGCCCTGGACTCCAGCTGGGCGGGCCTCAGCGAATTGGCACCTCTATGCTTCAGATGTCCACTTCCATGAGCAACAACCTGAGTGACGAAATGGATGCCGTTGCGGATATGGAGATGGATGATGCCATTGGCGAAATGGACATGGACGACAGCAACAAGATGCATCAGACCCGCCAGCTGTTTGGTCAACAACAGCGACCACAGCTCAACATGAACACCTCTGGTATTACTCAAGGTCTCCGAACGTCACAGCCGCCCACCCCTGCAGCCGCCAGCTTTGGATTCCAGAACAACCCCACTGTATCTTCTGTCAATACCCCTACCCTCACGACCCAGCAGCAGATGCCGCAGCAACAGCAGCAGCAACAGCAGGCCCAACAGGCCGGGATGGGTGACATGGACGACGACCTCCCTGGTATGCCAATGGGCGGCGACGCTACTGATCTTGGCGATATGACGTTTGGCAACGGCAACAACAACGCTAACAGCGACTCTAATTTCTGCATCAACGATCCCGGCAAGCATTTGTTTAGCCCCAACGGCGCATTCCCACAGGGTAACCGATCCATACAAGCACAGCTCGCTCAGCTCGGCTTGACTAGCGGCCAGTTTGCGGACCCCGAGGCCAACAAGGCATTACTTGCTCGATTGCAGAGCATGATGATGCCGGAGGAACACAAGCCTTTCAAGTGCCCTGTTATCGGCTGCGAGAAGGCGTACAAGAACCAGAACGGATTGAAGTAGGCTATACCCCTATGCATAAGACTTGATTGGCCAAAAGATGCTAACCACCGTATCTAACCAGGTATCACAAGGCTCATGGCCATCAAACTCAGCAGCTGCACGAGAATGGTGACGGAACCTTCTCCATCGTCAACCCGGAGACAAGTGCGCCCTACCCGGGTACAATGGGCATGGAAAAGGAGAAGCCGTTCAACTGCGAGACGTGCGGCAAGCGATACAAGAATCTCAACGGGCTGAAATACGTAAGTCCAACCAAAGAATGATTAGGCTGCTGAGCTTTATCCGAGACTGACCGACCCTCTTTTAGCATAAATCCCACTCTCTTCCTTGCAACCCCGAATTTAAGCTTCAAGCACTAGCCGCTGGTCTGAACCTGCCAGGCATTGGAGAAGACGTGATGCTGCAGTGAGCCGCTTGCACATGACGCGTCGGCCGTATTCCTCTGAACGGCATGGATCTGTTGGCGTCACGAGGGGGAACACTCAAACTCCCCCGCTATAGTACGATTCCGACTCGTCGAGCCTGCGTTGATCTCCTGTGGGGCTGCCCTCCAGCTGCGATCGACTCGCCTTGCGCCGTACGCTTGATCTCTTTGCTCAGATACATGTACATTCACTCTTCTTTTTGCCTTGCACATTTTCCAGCACATGGCGACGGCGTTATTCCTGGGCTGGTTCCCTGAGACGAAATAAAAATCGAGGTTGCTGGTTTCTTAGACGGCCGCCTCTCCCCCTTATCTGGGGTTCCCACATCGATGGCGCTCACGCTCGTTGATCCCCCACCATATGCGCATCAGCGAAGCAGATCATTCCTGTCATCGGATGGCCACTAATACGATGTACTACTAGCGGTCGTACATGATGCGACGGCCAAATTACCAGAACCGGAAGGACCTGATCCCGTCTTCCAAGTTGCATTGAGCCTCCTTCTCACCTCAATTTGTCCATGATCTGTGTTTCTTTTTCTGTTGACCCAATCGCGATGCATTTTCTATAGACAGACTGCCGGTTAGCACCGCGAACGCGCATCTTTAACTTGCTGGCAATATCAAAAAGATCGCCAAAGAGGATGATGATGAGATGTCCCAATCTTGAGACGGCGAAGCAAAAATGGATTACAAAAAATACGAAAGAGCGCTTATGAATTTGTACGATGGGGAGATTTTCCTAGCCTTTTATGCGATGTCTCTTTGGGGGAGAATCAGTGCTGCATTGGACGGGAAAAAAACTGGTCTTCTGTCACGTTGTTTTACTTGGGCGGTTTTGGTTTTTCAGGCTCTTCTCAAATCTTTTGTTTTTTTCTTTTCGTTACTACCCTCTGATGTTCTTAAACGGTTTGGATTGGCTTGAAACTTCATTTTTTGCTTTGACTTACATGCGCTGCTCTCACCTCTTACTTGACCCTCTGATAATAGAGAGGAGTATGACATGAGAGTGCGCGGTATCTCCTTTTTCTCTCTCTTCTAGTTGTTTTTTTTTTTGGGGGGGAAAGGGGCTTCTTTCTGTTTGGCTTGAAAAAAAAACTTTCTCTGGGTGGTGGAACAAAACAAAAAAGGGAATGGTGATACATAAAAAGTTGCGCGTATTTTTCTTTGATGCTTAAAACAGGAACTGGTTTTTTTTATAGAGAGCAATTCAAAAGGGCAAAAAGGGAACTTGTTTTGTCCCTATTACTTGAATCTTGCGTGGGCAGTGGAATGGAAAGCAAAGTGTCTTTAATAGTGAAAGTAAGAATTAATATGGATCGACTGTTGAGCTCTTCATAGAAGTTTGCCTTTGTCACCCCAATGTATTTCTCGTGTACTGTCCAGTGCGTGCTCCGTATCTATCAAAACGGATCGTACTTGTAATCCCGCCTAATAAGGCTGAAGAGAACAAGACCCTGTCAGAGTCAGACAAGGGAGCATATCGTTACCGCTTTCAGGTGGACGAGCAAAGGTTCCTTCTTGCTATCGTGTACGTGCGAGCGACGCGTGTCTTTTCTTTCACATGCATGTTAAGTCTCGAGTTTATTAGCCGGCGTATAGCGAGAGCCGAAAGATTAGTCGGAGGATTAATTGTCCCATGGATACTTGTATTTAATGTCAAAGCGGGGAGGGCGCGTGTAGGAAGACGATTACGCGGGAGACAAGTAGGTTAACGCAGCAGGTTATACATCATGGTCTAAGCATACACTGACTAGAACAAACTATCTCACAAGCATACAATTTCATGAAAAGAAAGCAGAATAGGCAAGCAACCAACTCCCTGAAATGCTCATCGGACAAGTAAAAGAACAGAAGGAAAGAACTGCTCCGCCATTTCCCCCAAAAGCCAGAAATGGAATAAGTCAAGGTGCTCTCATATCGTCGTCGTACGCATTTCTTCAAACGAGCAACCCGAAGCAAAAGCCAGAAAACAACCTCCTCGGGAAGATCGCAGCATCATCTCTCCCTTCTTCAAGAGAAACTCATCGGTGATCTCTGGTTAGATACTCGGGTAGTAAAAAAAAAAGAAAAGGGTCAATAGGCGCGGGTTGCGACAGTGGAAAGTGTCACATCATATCAAGGCAATCCTTTCTACGATATGTCCACGTCCTCATCATCGTCATCGACCTCAGACTCGACGATCTGCATCTGAGTGCTGCTGCTGATACTTTCCTTTCGAGTGCCATGCCCCGTGCCATCGCTATACCGGCCCGATACGCTCCCCCACTCGAGGTCGTCGCCCGCAACGACTCGGCCCTCCATGTCGATCTCCTGAGAGAGCTCGACCAGGGCGCTGCGGGGAAGGCGGAGGAAGCCTGGAGTGCGAACGATGCGGCCCCAGTGTGTCATGCAGAACGTTGCCGCTCTTTTGCGCAGCCATTCTTCGCTCGCCAGTCCTGAGCAGTACCAGATGACGCAGGCATGTTCGACATCGAGCTCCTTGGCTAGGCGATTTACGCACAACAGGCGAAGGTGTGGGATGTTGTAGATATTGGACATGACTAAGAGCCCAGCAACATCAGAGAGGTCTGTAGTGGCGTCGCTGTCCGTCTCCACCGTGCCGTGGATGTTATCAGTGTAAAGATACAGGAGGAATGCCTTGACCACGGAATATGGCTCGGGGATATGCATCTTTTTCGTGTGAAATTCCGCCATCTGAGCGTTATACAGGCGCGCAAAGTGCGGCCACCGCGCTTGTAAAATGAGCTTATGAACGTGAATCGGCGTAGAAGTCGGTGTGTCTGCAGAAAGCCAGCCCTGATCCTTGGCTGGATCATCGGCTCGAATGAGCCCAGAGCTTAAAGTGTCGTCGCTGTCGGCTTCATCGGCCAGCGCAGTGATGACAAAGTCTGTACCACTTCCAGACTCAGGAGGCTGGTTGAACAGCTTAGCAAGATCCGCACCAAGTCCCTTGGAAGGCTGATCAGACAGTCTAGTGGTAAAGGATGGCCTAGACTGAGCTAAACTTTCTGGTGCCAGGTTATTTCCAAGAAAGCCGTATCGCCGAAGATCAACTTCCATGATATCACTACAAGGGGTTACGTCAGTAAAGACAAGAGAAAGTAAGGGTCAGCTACCAGTTTGTATCTCACCTGAGGTACTCTTCATAACCGTTGGGCCCCAAATCAGTTGAAGCAGGATCGACTGGACAGCCCAGGAGCCACGCTTTGGTGCCATCTTCGTTCATGGTACAGTAGTGCCATCTGTATCCGGTTTTGAAGATTTCACGGCCGTCAGCAAGCTTCTGCCACCGCAACGTATTGAGGTCTAATGCTGATAGAGAGCATTCTCTGTGGGTAATGGTCGCAGCAGGGGTTACAAAGTCGAGCAACGTTCCGGAAGAGTAGGCGTGGAAATGAATGCCTGATCCTTGAGATGGAACAGTCGGCCCCGACACAAACTTTAGAGCAGATATAGACCCTGGTGCCATTGGCGCATAAGATTTTACTTGAAAAGAGGGAGGATTCACTTGAGCGGTCCGGGAATTCGCAGCATATCCAGAAGTGCCAACAACAGGATTTGATGCCATAGTGTAAGGCAGCTTGGGAGAACTACTAGTTCTGTGGGCAGCGGAGTGGCGGTCGAAGACGCCAAAATGGGGTCGTGAGTCGAATTCTGGGCTTCCCTTCAGATCAAGCCACCACAAGTCGCTAATCTTGTCCATGTCTTCACTGAGGCCACCAAAGACCCAAACACGGTCACCCCAGATATACGCCGAGTGGTCAAAGCGGCCGACGAAACGCCATGCCTTTGACCATGTAAACGTCTTGAGGTCGAGGTAGCAAATGTCGTCCAACACATAGTTGTTTTGGCCTGTAATGCCGCCGATGATGAACAGCTTATCCTCGTGCAGCACCGCGGCGTGTCTTGCTCTGCCTTTTGGTATCGGGCCGGACACCAGGGGTTGTGTCCAATGGGCTGTTTTCAAGTCGAAGACGATAAGGTCGGATAGGTAGGTTCGATGCTCGTTCTCGCCGCCAAAGACTAGGAGTTTGTCGCTTTTGTACAACGTCGCCGTGTGGCCTGTAGACATATTGATTAGTGCTTGTCGCGATAGAGACCAAGAGACAGTTTCTCGAATAGAATCATACCCATGCGCACCCCAGGAATATCGCCATAGTTGTCTACCAAATTCCACTGATGGGTTGTCAGATCTAGTCGCAGGACGTGATTGTACACCTCGTCCGTGTATTGGTCAAAGCCGCCGAAGGCATAGATCTGATTGTTCCCGCAGTATGTCACAGACGCATTGACGAGACACGCAGGTCTCTGGCCAAGCGTGCGGGTGACTTTGGGACGGTAGCCATCGACCAGAGGGCGACCCTTGGCGGGAGAGTTTGGCATAATGTATGTATTGTTGGAGGCCGAGGCAGGCGACTGAATGGCGCTCATGGCGTCTGCTGAAGTCTGGCCGACGAGACTGGTCTGCGGCGTCCCACCGGCATGGGTCGCCAGGGCTTGGCCGAAAATGCTGACAGAAGAAGTCGATGGACCAGGGGTAGAGGGTTGCGCCATGCTGAAATTCGGTCACGATGAGCAAAAGACCATCTCAGGCGCGCTGGAATCGGTCGTTAAGAGGCGGCGACAAGCCCAGAAGTGGCTGAATGAAGAACGCAAACGAGTGATGCGATAACGGTCCGTCTCGGCCCTTGACGACTTGTAACGGGTCCCTCGTAGTGGATTCGACGATGTTTGTAGGTTAAGCGTTGGACGGCGCATGCGAGGTGAGGGTCGCAGATTTGCGGAGCATCGAAACAAAGTCTCGTTTGTTCAAATCCCACACCGACTGGGTACGTCCCTTTTGATTTTTTTCTTTGCCGCGCACGCCTTTCCAAGTGCGGCTAGCCGCGCGGCCGTTACCTTCTGTGGCCGGACCACCCGCTTTTTGAGTTCGTCGTTGCCTAGTCAACTCGCTCAGTGGGGTCATAGTAAACAAAAAAGAAATGCATTGGGCGTCACCGTTTAGATTCTTTCCCTCACAACCATCCGCAAACTTATACATCCTAACGAACCATCGAACTATATCGCTCCATAAGACAAGAATCGCTACCGAAGCACCTATTTCTAAAGAAAAATCGCTACTCGAACCAATATTTTGTGTTGCTGGGAGAGATCTTCCTTGACCAAGTCACACGTGCTCTCTTGCTACCACTTCAATACACATAGAATACGCATCAGATATAGACGTTTATCATGGCTACCGCAGCGGGATCGAGTCCTGCCAAAACCCACAAGGGTATTTTTTCGAAGCGTACTGGCACCGAAAGAATTCCCCTCACCCCCTCACCTCGAAACTCTCTCAACTTCAACTCTTCTCCGTTCACTCCTGAGAATGCCAAGGCTTCCAAACCTACCTATAGCGGGAACTTGATGGCTCACTATGGGCGAGCATCATCTACTACTAACTCTCAGCGAGAACTTCAACGAGGCTCTCTGCGAGATTCCCAGCAAGAGCCTCAACGAGAATCTCATCGAGACTCTTCCAAGTCCAAAGCTCTGGCACTCGGAGTGTCTGACTACGCACTTACTGGTACCAACCGTTCCACGAGTCCTCCTGCTCCAAAGAAGAAGACATCGCTTCGACAGAAGCCTAGCAAGACGACAGTGAACTACGCCGGCGACCGTTTCATCCCCAACCGTACAGCCAGCTCCGCAATCGCCAATGCGGGATCGAGCAAAGCTAATGGCCCTGAGAGAAAGAAGAGATCCAAGCCCAGCAGCTCGGAGAGGCCGTCAGCTTCTGATTCCGGTGAGGATGATGGAGAAGCTGCTTCTGCTCTGGAGGGCCTGAGCATCCTCGACGATGATGATGAGGATGAGGGCTATGTCCGCCCCTCCCCAAATACTGTGGCCTATCAAGATTCTCTTGCCGATGCCTGTGGTGTGAGCCTCAAGACTCGTATCCTGGAGTATAAGCCCGCTGCGCCGGAATCATCCAAGCCCATCGACCTCCGCCAGCAGTACAATAGACCTCTCAAACAGGCCACTTCTAGCTCTGCGCAGGCTCGTCGACGCATTGCTACCGCGCCTGAGCGTGTTTTGGATGCACCTGGTCTGATTGACGATTACTACCTCAATTTGTTGGATTGGAGCTCTGGTAACCAAGTTGCTATCGGTCTGGAGCGCAGCGTTTATGTCTGGTCGGCAGATGAGGGTAGTGTCAGCTGCCTGATGGAGACGACGCCCGACACGTACATTAGCAGCGTCAAGTGGTCCGAGGATGGTGCCTATGTCGGCGTTGGTCTCGGCACAGGCGAGGTCCAGATCTGGGATGTAGCTGAGAGCCAAAAGATTCGAAGCATGTTTGGACATGATACCCGTGTTGGCGTCATGGGCTGGAACAAGCACCTGCTTTCTACTGGCGCCAGAAGCGGACTCGTTTTCAACCACGACGTTCGAGTTGCTGAACACAAAATTGCTGAGCTGGTCTCACATACCTCTGAGGTGTGCGGCCTCGAATGGCGGTCTGATGGCGCTCAACTTGCTACCGGCGGCAACGACAACTTGGTCTCCATCTGGGACGCTCGCTCACTGTCTGTGCCCAAGTTCACCAAGGCCAACCACAAGGCGGCAGTCAAGGCGCTCGCATGGTGCCCTTGGAACTCCAACCTACTTGCCACCGGCGGCGGTTCATATGACCGACACATTCACTTCTGGAACTCCACCACGGGAGCGCGCGTCAACAGCATCGATACCGGCTCCCAAGTTACCTCTCTCCGCTGGAGCCCTCATTACCGCGAGATCGTAAGCTCAAGTGGCTTCCCCGACAACTCTTTAAGTGTCTGGAGCTATCCCACCCTGGTCCGCAATGTCGAGATCCCTGCCCACGAGAGCCGTGTCCTCCACAGCTGCCTCAGCCCCGACGGCCAGATGCTGGCCACTGCTGCTGCTGATGAGAGCTTGAAGTTTTGGAAGATCTTTGAGAAGAAGGCCGGATCGAGTGCCAGTGCTGGAGGCGCAGGAGCATCTGGAAAGGCCGGGATGGCCAAGCAGATGACAATTCGCTAAACAACGGTCTCCAAGAGGCTGTTGCCAACCAATCTCAAGGTCAACATATATGTCTTTTGAACGACGTCTCTTTTTCTCTACCGGCGGAGTATCTGCTTTCGAAATGGCATTGGGGAATTGCCATCTGCTATTCTCTCTGCACGTGGTACGAAAGTGCTTCTCCACGAATGAATAGATAGGATGGATGGGTCGGATCTGAACACGAGCTACGATGAAATGTCTAAGACAAAGAGTCACAAAACAACAGAAAAAAGGTTACAAAAAAAAAAATTGTTGCAATTACTTGCTACGTTATGTTTTATACGGCTATTGATTTCAACGAGTGGTCTGGCGTTTTGGGAGGATAGAGGAATACCCTGAGTTGGTGTCCTTCAGCCACCGCATTTGCGGAAGGGATTTGGAAAAAGTCTTGTAGGTTTCTTGTAGCTTAGATAATGTTGAATGAATATTTGGTTTGTTTGAGTACATTACAGGTTTTGAAGAAATTGTGCCGTAGAGAAAGCACTATATCTCATATGCCCATACTGTGATAGCAGATGAAGTCACTGTGCGAATGCACGCCTTGGAGAGGAGCTGGCCAAGTTTGAATTCCAATCAAGGTTATTGGCGCTGAGTCAATTAAAAAGACCACATGCAGCGATTTTCAGTGGTGCCTCCAAGTAAAGTTCAGCGCTGTCGCCTGCTAGTTGCAGGCAGCAAAGTTGCTGAGCAGCTAGCCATGACTAAGCAGCAGAGCCCTCTAGAAGTGCAAATCTACCCATTGCCGCCAACTCTAACCATTGCATACCTCTGCAGTTGGACGGATCCGACACCACTACGCTCTACGCTGCACGCCTGAGCGCGCATTCAAGAATTGCTACCAAAGGCCTCTATCTGTGCACACAGCGGCATCCATTCTCTTCTTTTTACTCTGCTAGAGTGGCGGCTACAGCAACGCTGTCGAGTACCGATACAAGTGCTTGGCCACCACCAGAGCGGCTACCCACCGACTTGTGTACGCCTACAAACGGCCGCCTAGCGATAGGCTGCGCGCTCCCTCGACCAGGAAACGAAGAAAAGGTCCACGATATCTGAGAGTGCTAGAATAAGGCAGTCGCTGTTTTTTTCCTTCCTGTTTCGACTGTGATTTGGTTACGGAACGGCATTTGCACCTAGTGTGAGAGCCTTCTGAAACAGAGATTCTCTCGTCGAGTCTCGAGTGCAAAACCAGCATCAGTCGGGTGACATCGGTGTAAACCGAGCAGCGCTGCCAAGATGTCGAACCAGGCCGTGGGAAGCGTCTACCAGACGATCATTGAGGAGGTGATCAACAGTTCGCGAGTCGATTTCGAGGAAAGCGGTGTTGAAGAGGCCGTGCTGGAGGAGCTGCGATTGGTAAGTACTGCGGTCATTTGTGTCCCGACTTTTGCACGTCCCTCTCTCTCCCTCGTTTCCATCAAACCGTCCACTGCGCATCATCACAGTCCCGTCTCTGGTCTCGTGACCGCATCTTCCCTCTGCAGATTCTCCGCGAGAAGCAGAGACAGCGCTCAGTTTGTTTTCTGCACGCAAGAGCATCATGCTTCGCGCGACCCTCGCGGCTCCCTGAGAGGGGACGCAGGAATCTGGGGTGGAGAGGAGTGGCGGGTTGGGTTCGGGGAATCGGGGGGCGACACAGCACTATTTGGAGCCCTTTTTAAGTCCAGAGAGGGCTCCCCTGGCCCCCTCCAACCTCACTTGCCACCCGCCAAATCCGGTGACCCTCCAAACAGGCAGGAATTGGGTGCTGCCGCCTGATTGGACCGCCAAAGGCCCCTTCCCGCGCCTCAATTTCACGTGTGGTTCGAGTCACAGCAGCTTAGCATAGCACCATACAGCACATTTGGTGGACGGCTGCTGGCAACACAGCGATTTATACAGATTGCCCACATCTCCCCTTTCTCCCCTTCAAGTACCAGCTTCCACAACTCTCTATGCCTCGTCTCTATGGCCTCGCTGATACTAACTGTCTCTCACTAGGGATGGCAACAGAAGCTCTCCCAGCTCGACGTGGCCCGGTTTCCCTGGGATCCCAAGCCTGAACCTGCCCCACCAACCGCATCTGGTCCACCTCCCAATACAGCCACGCCTGTGCATACACAAGCTCAGTTTGCTACGCCATTGTCACTGCCGGCGGCAAGCCCTCCCAGTGGATTGCTGCAGAATGGCGTCAAACCAGAGCCGTATGTGAAGACAGAGCCCGGCATCAAGCAGGAGCCCGGCACACAGCAGCCCAATGTTCCCTATCCCAGCTACAATGGCATGGAAAAGAACAGCGTTGCTGCCAACAGGGCTGCCCAGCAACTCCAGGCTCAGTACGGACAGCGAGCGCAGGACTCCATAAATGCCATACAACAGGGCCGCATGGGACAGCCTCAGCAGCCAGGACAGCCGTCAGGACCCGTATTGCCGCAACAGCCGCAACAGCAGCCATCGGATCACCATCAGTCATTGGGCAATGCTCAGGTAGATGGTGCGGGCGATGATGCCATGATTGAAGATTCTTCGGATGAAGAGGAAGAGAGCTTTGAAGGCGTCCTCTTACGGCATGGGGTCAACGGTAAGCCCGAGGAGCTTGGAAGAGTCGAAATCGACCGCATCCTCCACGATCAGATGGCTGCCAAGGCGAAAAGCATGGAAGGAGGCGGTTTGATGCTATCTCTTAAGGAAGCTACAAAAGATCAACCCAAGTCCAAGAAGATGAGAAATAAAGGAAAGGGCCCTGCTGGCGTTGCTGCATATGATGGCGGCGATGATGAGGACGTCGAAGTCGATGAAGACGCCATCAACTCTGACCTTGATGATCCTGATGAGGACCGAGATGATGATGAGGTTGATGATGAAGGTCTGGGTCATATCATGCTCTGCATGTACGACAAGGTCCAGCGCGTCAAGAACAAGTGGTACGTATGAAAAACAACACAGCGGAGCTACACCTGAGTGTTGAAGGCCTCCTCCCTTTTCTAGTCTTTTATTAATATGCTGACCCTTCGAGTAGGAAGTGCACTCTTAAAGATGGCGTCTTGACGGTCAACGGTAAGGAGTACGTATTTAACAAAGCAACGGGCGAGTACGAGTGGTAGTGAAACCCACGGAGACGATTCGCTTTATGGTTGCTTTTGCGATCATATACATGCTGCTCGGGAAGAACCCCATTTGGCTCAGTGCCATCTGTTTTCACTGGTCTTTTGTTGGCCGAACTTATACCTCCACTTTGCCTACTTTAATCTGGCTTTTGCTCGCGTTCTTTTACTTTATATATCTATTACGAAATTGAAATGCAAACATATGAAATACCAAAAAGAGAAACGAACAAAACACACACAAAAAAAAAGATGATTCGCCGAGCAGTTGCTGGTACTAGAGGAAGTTATTTTGACAGGGCCAGCATAGTTTGCTCTCTTTTTGCCTCTTGGGATGAGGTGGCCTTTCTTCTTTAACTCTTTTCAACGGACGCTGGACTTTGCTCTAATAATGAATGGCCATGTATTTACATTTTAAGCCAGAGATAAATTGATTATACCATTAGCAATATGAACAGATGCACCACCCATAGCAACTGGAGCTGGGCGGAATAGCTCTAGGGGCGCAAGTGTAGCGACTTATTCAATAGCGGCCGCATACTGTGAATGACAATTTTCTTGCCCAATTTATTCAGAGACACTCCTCGTGTTGCTAGCAGCAGCACTACTACCTATTAGTAGTAATACCCAGTACCTTAGTATATATTAGCAGTAAGCCAAGCCAAGCGCAGCAGAGCCGATTGAGCTTCCGCTTCGGCGTTAATGCCCGTATGCGCAAGCCGCTCCGTCTTGATGTCCTGCCAGATTGAGGTAGTTATTTTTTTTCTTTAGTTTTTTTATTTTTTTTTATTTTTTTTTTTGCTCACACCCCGAGGGAACCATAGACTGGCCTCCTGGGTCTCTCCTACGGTCACAGGTATGCTAAGCACAGAGACGAGAGAATTACTGGGCCGCGGTAAAGCCAATTGAGGCATTTACCAAGACAGGGGCAAGTCGCCGGAAAGCATTTAGCCCACGCATATGACCGCATCTAGAGAGAGCAAGGGCTGGGAGTAAACGATCGCTTGTCGCGGGTCCGCTTCCGCGCGTTTGTATGGCGCCGTGGGCCATGAATCCTTCGCCGTTCGCCGACGCCCAGTTCTTGTCGTACTTGTAGGCTGTAGGTGACGAGAGCGACGACAAAAACAGGAGAGGGGCTCCCCGCTTCTGGGTACGAAGCGGCGGCGTTCGGTCAAAACTGGGAAAGCTGAACATCCGGGGCACAGCAGAGAGCCTGTTTTGATTAGAATAAAATGAAGAGCACACCATTTCTACTGTGATGGATGGGGAGGATGGGGAGGATGAGGGGTTGCGAAACCATCTCGAACAGCTCGCTTATCCCAGATTTTCAGGGATCTCACCCCAGATACACCGAGCAGCAAGGTGTTGCTGCATAAAGGAGCATTCGCGGAGGGATATCACAGGAGATGCCGCTGAAGCTGGCGGCAATCCTGCTGCTACACTGCATGAGTGAGCACGAGGGTGAGCAGGCAGGCAAAGCATAAGGGCGGGGGATCCGGCTTACGAGCCTCCCTGATACACGAGAAGGTATCAGTATCCTGACCACCATTTTACCGCAATTTCGCACCCCTACTGGCTCGACCCGACAGTCTGGTTCACCGAGACGCGCTAATGGTTAGTGGGACGCCGTGCAGATGTCTAGACCGACAGGGGAGCATAGCCGGGGGCGTCGGCAGTTTTGATTCGAGGAAGAGGAAGGGGACTTGTCAGACGGAGCTGTATGGCTTCACCTCTCCCTTCCAAGCCTGCAAGGTTGAGACTGGGCGTGTGACATGGGTGACTGGCTCTGAATCGTCGAGGCAAATGTGATCTGCGCTTCCCCTAACCTATAAGCGTCAAAAAGGCCGGATTTAACAAGCGAGGGTGTAGTTGACCAAAGAAGTCCAATTGCCAACAACAAATGGACTTGTCAAGAAGTGTACGAAGACGAAAAAACATGACGCCCGAGAGGTGGACTTGTTAGCTAATAAAGAAGTAACAAAAGTCCAGCTGTCAATAATGGATTTGGTCATAAATGACCGAATGTAGAAAAATCCAATTGCCAACGCTTGGATGAAGACGCAAGCCCCTATGATTTAGCATCAACAAGTGGACATGTGAACGAATGGAATGCGACGATGTCGGTCCTACGCTTCTGATATCCGAATTAGTTCAGGCTGTTAAGCCTCTGCGAATCTTCCACGGAGAAGAACGGGAAAGCCCTGAGTCATCGATGCTCCTATACAACATTCAGTCTTTCTAACCCATCTGCTATTCCTATCTTATCCTTACCTAGGAATCGGATAGGTTTAACTGCTCGTAGATAAGTAGATACCCTATGGCGCTTATCCACGTTATTATCTGTGAACATATAGGTTGTAGCCACTGATGTAGGAGCTGATAGAGGTCAAGAGAAGCATTTCTATGCTACCAGTCGACTGCTTCTTAGACGCACTCTGGCAGCAATGCGGACTGTGGAGTAGCAATGGCAGGAGAGATGACGTGAATTTCGCAGAGACCTGTGTATTCTGACCGGTTCGCGAGCTTGAAGAGCTAGCATGACAAGAGGAGGAGATCGTATCCCTGCCAAGTTGTCGTACGTACCCATGCCTAATATGTTTGCCGTCGCAGTGGACGTCACCTTGATCTCGCTGCGCCCGGCAGTCAAATTGGCGACCGATAACCTGGTTGCCGGTTAGCTACATGACTGTTTAGCATCAGCCAACTACGGGTGGCCGAACCAGAAGTTGATACACTTTGCAACCAGCTGTTTGCAGCAGCATTCGCTATCTCAAGAATAGAAAGCCCTCGGCATCTAGGTATTTTGCCTTCAACTATAACACTGAGTCGCGCATAGTACCGACATGTGCAAGCATGGATAACAGCGATCCTTGATTCTGCATGATCTAGTGTGATGGGTGAAACCGCTGTCGGCAGGGTTCAAGGATGCTTAATTGGCACCACTTTCCGCTGGAGCTACTCGTACCTATGCTCGCCCTTCTGTAGGCGAAGTCGGAATCACCGTATTGTAAATAAACTAATCCGTACAAAGTATCGAAGGGGTTTAAGAGAGAAAAAGAAAAGAAAAAATAATAATAACCCCCCTCAGCCGGCTGGCAGGGCCAAGCATATGCTGGTTTGCACTTGTGTAAACGTTAGCATAGCATTGACAATATGCTGCAGCATTCCACAGAGACAGCAAAAGAGGGAAAATATGTGACGTGTAATGTACAGAGGCAATAGCAAGGCACTAAGACAAATAAACCAAGACCAGAGGAGTGCCTTTGGGCTCAGCGAATCGCTCGTCGAGATGGTGTGTTGTTGGTTGCTCAACATTATGCGTCTGGCTAAAGGATGCTAGCTTTGTCCTCCACAGCTTGTTAGTGTCTGCTGTGGCTCCTCTGCGGACGATGCGACGCTGCGACCTACCAAAGATTCAAGCCGAGAAGGACTCGCAAGTGGCTCCCTCTTAGAGCGATCTTCCTAAAATGGCCGTTTAACCACGCGTTAATACTGCCATAAAAGAACAAGTCCAGGAATTATCATCACATGGAGCCAGGGGGGAAATCGTGGGACTAGCCGGCTGCTGGGTAGCCATGATACATGGAGTTGAGAGCCAGGTGAACGCCTCGGAGCCTCTGCCATGATCTCGTAAGTGCAGTAGTATCATTGCTGGAGCTAGCGTCAGCCAGTGCTATGTAAGATGCTGCCCAGATCTTGAAAGAAATGCCTACTTGTACGCAAGGTAGCCTCCCATAAGTTCTGGCTGGGGCTCTGCTCGCCGGCTGGTAGGCATCAGTACTGGACGCCGTTACATCGTATCCAGCAGTTCCACCGGCACCGCCTACACGACGGCCTGGAGGTGGAAGGGAGCAAACGTCACATGTACAATGGGCACGGCTAGCGTGGCGTTGTTGGTCCCCAGCTGTCGAGACAATGCTGGAATACTGTGCCTGGTATACGTATACTTGGTAAAAGCTCGAACTACAATAGTGCTGTCGTAGGTACTATTGCGAAGCCGTCGCTCGGAGTGTGGAGCCCAGTCCGGGGTGTGCAGCTACACGCCACGGGCGTCGCTCTCGAAGACGGTAGATTGTAAAACGCGAGAGCGCTGGAAGCACCGCAACGACAATAACCGAAGTGCAAAGCCTTGGACTGTGCCATATCACAGACCTGCTGGGGTGATGGTTTGAGCTCGGTGAACGGAGAGAGAGCTGAAAAGGAAGGATGTAAAAGCATGAGGCCCATGGGAAATTTTGAGAGAGGTTTAGCGCTAGCATAAACATGTACCGAAGGATCACACGTGTTTGGGTTCCTGAGGCACCATGCAGTTGCTCGGGAATTCATGTACTAATAGCCCTTGTTACAGCTGGAGATAAGAAAGGACATCACCGGTGCATTCGACAATGGTATCGGTAGCCACCTGGTAATGCTTTGGGAGGTAGCTATTTGAAGACTGAATGTATAGAGGCTCAAGGCTTATCAAAGCTCGTCAAAGAGTATGTCAACCCAGAGAGTGAACGTCATGCTTTCTTCGACAGGTGGCTCTAGAATGTACATATAGTAATAATACTGCATTATTACAGGCAGATACCTTAGCTAGTCCAGTAGGCGTTATACTCCAACAGTGGATAGGTAGGCATTGGGATCTGGGGCTAGATAGTCTTTGGGTGAGCGCAGAATCGAAGAACGCTGTGCCAGCGGGGGGTGAAAAATGTGCTGATCAGGTTCGAGCTGAGCCATTGCTTCTTAATACCACAGGGAGTGCAGGATGGCACGTGTAACAGGCACTATTTCAGAGGAGTACATATAGCCTAGAAACAGCAGCACTATTATGATAGTCAAAGATATAAAGATATATGTATAGAGTCTAGCATCGTATACTAGCCTCGCAATACAAGCAGTAGAGCTCTGCAGTAATGAATGTTGCGACTGCCTACCGCCCACATCTTGGGTCATTCGCAGACTTGAAGATGCTTGCAACGCCAGCAGACATCTTGCGGTGTGAATACTTCTCATGCTACTAGGTGCTGCGTGTACTAGCAGCAGAGTCCTGGCAGTCAAGTCCCGGCAGACTCGCCTGTATAACCCTTTCCAGCAAGCCAGATGCTGGCACCGAACGGACATGTCCGAGTACTTCTCACACCGTACTCTGATAATGCTACTCTATCTGCTGTGGGTATGGGCCTGGTACATGCAGTTTCTGCGATGCGGAAGGTCGCAACAGTGGATAAATCTACCTAGATCAAGGCTACTGTCTGATGCCTGCATTGCCTTGTACAGACACCGCACTATAGACGTCACCACTCTGCGATTCATACCTGCTCGCGATGATACCGTTAATAAGGTAATTGATGGGCTGTTGCGTCGCCAGACGCATTTGATGTTGAGTCAAGATCTGTGCTTGGCTGCTGGGACCTGTTAGCCCTTGTCGAACCGGCTGTATTCAATCTTGCTGTTTTCCCTCTTCTACTTCATTCGTTCTTTTCTTTTCCGTTGTTCTCGGAGGCCACGCAGAATACTCGGACGCTGATTAACCCGATACCCATGAATGCTTTCCCCCCTGCTCAAAGTGGCTCGGCGCAATCAATCGCAGACAGCCACGACTCTTGCTCTAGCACTCTCAGACAATTTCCAGACGCTGTTGGTTGAGACTTTTCCATTCTGCTTTGCCCGTCTTTGGTGGGGCCACGGGCGGGTCGCGCCGGGACAGCGCAAAGAGCATCTGATGGACCCCGTCTGGCACCAGAATATACGGTGTACTTGTACCGGTACGCGCTGGCTCTGGCACACTGACATCAGTCCGTGGATCCATGCAGCGCCGCCTGCCAGTGCGGCGAGCTGCATTGGAAGTGCATGCGCCCATGGACATCCATGTCGTTGGATGAAGCGGGCAGCAAGACAGCAGTACACGATCCGCAACTTCTTTCGCAGAGTATTCATACTGTTCCACACAGGCCGGCAAGTGTTGCTACCTCAGACTGCCTCTCCAGCCCTCCTCGCCGTTGAGCGCAAATTGCTGCGTCAATGCGGGCTTCAGACGCATTCGTCGACTTACAGCGCCCATGCAAGCTGAACAAGAACGAGTTTGGCTGCGCTAGCAGCCCTTGCAACACGCCACAAGCAGGAGGATCAGTTTAGAGCCGCATCTGAACGTGCTGGAGCCACCAAGTCTGCAGAAAACCCAGCCCTGGCTAGTGCGGCCTCTCTCCTTGCAACACTCAACTGCTTTTCGCTGTCCTTGTCATTAAACCCAGAAAACGCCATGATATGCCGTGTACATATCGCTCTGGTGTGGAGGAAGGAGATCCTTAGACGTGACCTCCACAAAGCCTGCCATCTCTCGGGCAGCAATACGACCAGCAATGATGCTTTGTCAACCCCGGCAATATTGATGAGAGAGCTACATATGTGTGGTCATTTTCCTGCGGAATCCGTGTTGTTGGCTCTCGACAGGAAATGTCTTTCCATGCAGCGTCAAGATTCTGCATTGACAGGAGGTGGACCCCAAGACAGAGGCAAAATGGTTGCTCACAATGGCCGACAACTTACAGCTTGGATCCTTGCACTATCTGCTTGTGGTAAAATCTGCAGCACCGGCGACAATTTGCCAAGCGGCAAAGCTGAGGTGCTGTTCCTTGCTCTGGTATATCGCAAACCTCCTCAGTCAGCCGACCAACACTGAAACGAGGAATGAGGCCGAGACTGAGAAGAAGGTGAGGAGTAGGTACTTCCACAGGCATGCATCGAAGCAAAAGATCAACCAACTGTCTGGCCCAGCTGCCCAGCTATGCTCGTATGCACCAATGCTGGAGCGTAACAAGCGGCTGGACTAAGAAACCAAGCGTGGGGAAAGGGCGTGGGGCACGACAAAGTTTGGGCTCCCGGCGTCGCGGAATGATGGCTGAGGCCCGGCAAAAGCAAGAAATTAAGAAGAGACAAAAATGTAACCGAATTACCAGCAAGGAGTGGTGAAGCCAAATTACAACTGACTAGGACCTGCAGGAATATGCGTGATAACGGAGCTCGTGCTGCGGGACGCCACCAATCGAATCAGAATTGTTGAAAAAGGCAATCGATCCAGTGTGGTGGCCAGTGGGAGACAGGGATGGGAGCAGTCAAGTAGCACTGTATGCTACCTCACAGTCTGTGTAAACTGCCACTCTTCATGTAGTTCGCTCTTTGAGGGCGAGCGTGTGAATGAGTGTGTGTGTGCGTGTGTGTGTGTGTCTTGTCCCAATACTACTATTTGCTGCAGTTCCAAGGGTCTATGCAAGAGCGTCCAACAACGCAGCCGGGATGTCCAGCCGGGGCTTTGCGTGTTGGTCATCATCGTCCATCGAGTACAGGATACTTGATGCTGTACGACGTTTCGTCCGTGCTCTGGACAGCACCGCTGGGCCGCTGTACGATGCCTGGGTACCTGGTACCTGGTTCTGGTGGCCGGCCAGTACTACTAGTAGTAGTATTACTCGCAACTTGAGCCACTCCATGCATGCTGCTAGCAGTGCCTGCGATTGGACGAAGCCGCCATGGCGATGCTGGGCATTGCTGGCCTTGCAGCAGCATTGACACCTGGCAGACGGGTTCCAGCAGCGGTGCTGGGTGGCCTCACGCTTCACAGCGCGATTGACGCTCGTCATGCTGCCGGCATGCGATGACTGAATCCGCTGGAATGGAAATTTCCCCGGCTGCTGCGGAACATCACCGCCGACTGTACGGAGCAGATGCTGGTGCTGACTGGCGGCCCGAGCGAGATGAGATGGCCTTGCGGCAGTGGCCAGTTGGGCGGTCCAGGGCCTGCCGCACCGCACGGGACGTTTTAGTGCCCCCCGGCGTGGTGCTGGGACAGGTACGGGGACAGGTACAGGTACTTGCGCCGCTGTAATGGCCGCCAGAACACCACCAGCAGCCTCCAGAGGGGGGGTGGCCTCGCTGTCTGGGTCCATGCGCGCCACACGCCACCCACTAGGCCGGCCGGGTGGTAGGACTTGCAGAGCATGAGCTCTTTCCCTGGGTCGGCTGGCAACAACATGACTTCCTGAGGCCCATGTCCTGGCCTCGACCTTTTGTCCAGCTCAACCTCGCCGCCTGCATCCTTCATGCCTGCTAGGCTGGAGCCAGAGCCAGAGCCAGAGCCAGACGCGGAGACAGAGCCAGCAGCCGAGACAGCGAGAAGCAGCAGCAGCAGCAGCAACAGCAGCAACAGCCGCAGAACCCATTGCTCTCGGTGAGAGACGCCAGCCAAGACCAGGGAAGAAGGAAGAAATCGATCCGGCCCTGACTGGCGCCTAGCGTCCGTCGCAAACCACCAAAGAACCAGCCCACCGCGTCTTCGTCTAGCCTCCCCTCCACTTGTTGTGGCTTCGGGGCTCTTTTGCTTTAGCGCCAAAGCGAGTCCAGCAAATCATCGTGTGCCTGTCGAGGCAGAGAGCCTCCCTACCGAGCGATCAATACCGGTCATCATTCGCACTCTGCGGGTTGCTGGTCCCAGCTTTTCAGGATACAGTCTGCCATTCGGAGGATTTTTTCCCTCTTCGCTGGGCTTCTGCCGCTCGCTCTCTGCTCTGCGCTTCTCTTCCTTCTTGCGCCCAGAGACTTGGGCCAGCGCAGCCGTTCCTTTCGTTCGCACTTTGCTGTGCTTATTCTAAACCAATTTCCTTACTCGCA